CTGTCGTTCCGTATATTACTGGAATATAACTGCAGCGAAATCAGAAATGATTATTATCAAAGTATCCCTTGACTAAGCCGATGTTACCTTTGAATAATTGAAAGGGCATCGCTACTCGACCGCGCGTCGCGAGGGCGAAACAGAGCGTGCATCTCTCCTCTGAATTCTGACCATGTTTATGTCTGCGACTTTTGTGCGAATCTTCGGTTTGTTTTCTGCGCCTTGCGTTCAGTCGGCAAGATCACTGCACGCAAAAGCTTGCCTAACTTCCATTCCTGCGCCTAGACCTCTTTCTGAGAGCTTGTGTTGCACATTTTAAAGGATACCTTAACAGTTGAGGTTTTACAGCTCAACGTAAATGGGACCCTTTGACTGGCCTACACACAGAAATAATGAAGTCCTTTTGATGACTGCATGGAATCCTATCGCGTTTTAAGCCACTAATTTTGTAAATTGCACGATCACCCTAAATTCCCCCTCCCACGTGCCTTGGATTTAGTATTTAAGTTCTTGTGAGGAGGGAGGTTAGATTTTTGTGGTCGCACCGCATTTGTACATGTGAGAGGAACCTTCCCCGACAGTTGCTCTCTTTGTGGTATGCAAACCTGAAAGAAAATATACCTCCGTACATGTTAAATACTCAGTTGATCTGTAGCTCAGTGAATCGTCAAGGCCATCACGCGGATAGATTTACAGTGTTGTTCATCAAACGACCTCTGCGCACTTGGCTTACGGTGGTTAATAAGACTCTTTGCAATCTCCCCTGTAGGAGTCCAATAAGCAACAACAGCTACTGGCCCGCATCAAGACCCTGGAGGACGAAATCAAAGGACTGGTACAAGTCAAATCTGCTCAGGATGATGTAAGTTTGTTCGTATTTCTCGCCCTCCTCCTTTCGTCATAAGCATTCGTTTCCTATTGTCTTGGCTTCGCCTCAGCTTCCGCCTTCCTTTTCATTCTATCAGCTTTTTTGTCTTCTTCAAAACGGACTATCAGGAATCTGTGTACCATGCTCTGATGGCAATTCCAGAGGTGGGAAGAAGACGACTTGATCGCTGGAACAATACGCTTATTCGCCTGAGGTTTCGACATCCGCCGCGAATTCATCATCAGAAACATGAGCAGGAAACAGTAGCTACTACTGTTACTGTTTCCTGCTCATGTCTCTGATGATGAATCCGCGATGGATGTCGAAAGGTCAGACGAATAAACGTATTGTCCCAGTGATCGAGTCGTCTTCTTCTTCTCAATTGCTTCCTGGGACTCGCATGTTCGCTTGTATTGGCAATTCCAGGGGTCTCTCGTCGGCATTACAGTTTTACTTTGCCGATGGTGATTCAGTCAGATCGACCTAAGACAAGATCTGAGACCCGGCTCACAGTTTTTTCCTACCTCCTACCCTACAAGTCTTTGATTATTGAGGTTGCCGACTAGAATCTGATGTCGCAGTGTGTTACGGTCGTCCTCCTTCGACACAGTTCCCACTCGAAACTCGCTTGAACTACACTAGATCCGTCTAAGCCGAGTTGATAGCCTCTCCAGATTTGTAGCGTCTACGCGATGGTTGAACTCAGATCTCTACAATCGTCAGGCCAAATCCCGGGTTGTAGGTAAAATACAGAAGGTACCAGAATTAGGGAGTTATTGCGCACTGGACCGTCCCAGACAGCAGTGGCCCTTGGCGAAGCACTGTCCCTGTGACCCCCTGCTGTGGAACACAGGGCGGGCATAGTCGAAGTCAACGGTCAAACTGTCATATAATCGGCCTGTGACGAAACATTGACGTGTGGGCTGTGCAGTTCTTCCTTATGCCCAAGTCACCATTACCTCGCAGATCACGGTGTTCGTTGTCAAGCTTACCAGCTGGGTTCCATTTTGCCTCCAAGCGGTTGGATTCTGCTCGTCTTACTTCGGGTCCGCCTCATTTCATTTTTCGTTGCGACCATCTTGTGTAATAATTAAATAATTCCTGTTCTGCAAACGTTCCCCCGTTGTCCTTGTGGCTTTTTGCAGCCAGCGGTGGCAACCCGAATGTGCGTTATTGGTATTCTAGTTTTATTTGTGGTAAATGTTGTGCATTTTCAAGTCCCTGTTCATTCCGCCAGCGAATCCTGTCACTTTTTTATTTTTC